CACATACAGACTGCCACCAGAAAAATGACTGGCAGTAGTCACCACCTGTGAGCCAGGCATGTACCAGGCTCTGTGCAAATTCGCTCTCATTTAATTGCCTCAAAACCTACTGGTTGGACGTGGTGGCTCATGCCTGTAATCCCAGCACTTTGGGAGGCCAAGGCGAGCAGATCACTTAAGGTCAGGAGTTAGAGACCAGCCTGCCCAACATGGTGAAACCCCATCTCTACTAAAAATATAAAAATAGCTGGGCATTGTGGTGTATGCCTATAATCCCAGCTACTTGGGAGGCTGAGGCAGAAGAATCACTTGAACCCAGAGGCAGAGGTTGCAGTGAGCCGAGATCACACCACTGTCCTCCAGCCTGGGAGACAGAGTGAGACTCCACCTCAAAAAAAAAAAAAAAAAGAAAACCGCAGTGAGGGAAGTAACATTAGCCCCATTTCAAGAGAAGTGACTGAGGTTCAGAGAGATAAGTGGCTTGCCAGGGATCATGTGGGAGCACTGCAGACCTGAAGCTGGCTTCTGGCTCCTAACCAGTGCACTGCTATGCTGGATACCATGGTGGCCACCCAGATTCTGTTTCAGGAGAGGGGCACTCATTGCCTCAGCTACTCAGGGTGTAGGTGGCTGATGGCTCTCAGCTCTGTTAATGGAAGAGCGTCCCCTCCCTCGAAGTCCTGACTCTCACCAAGAGCAGCCTATGTCCAGGCTGCCACAGCGGGTGGTCCTTAATGGCTAGCCCAGCTCCAGAGCTGCCTTTGGGACGGCTAAGGCCCAGTTGTGACTGCAGCACAGCTCAAGTCCTCTGCCCAGGTCTGCTTCCTTCCCTCCCATACAGGGCGGGTTTCCAGGGGGACATCATCACACCTCCTGTCTGTACATCTCTGTCTCAGAATTAGCTTCCTGTGACCCTGACCTAAGATATCTTCTTTGCCCTTGAAGGCTAAGCTTTATCCTGAGGGCCTCACGGGCTTCAGTTAAAGCATACAAGTGACAGCTCACACTATAGAAAGGTTCTACTGAAGGACAAGCTGGGGAGTGGAGAGACTCGAAGCCAAGAGGCCAATGAGGAGGCTGACAAGAGGGATGGGAACTGAATTCACACCATGGCAGTGATGGCAGGGAGAAGGCCAATGCCAGCCATGGCCACTGGGTGGAATAAATGAGTCATAATTCAAGACTGGCCAAGGAGCCCTGTGCCTAGCCCGGGGGTGACTGGAGGGATGCTGGTGCCCCAGGCTGTCTCCCATCTAGAAGTCACTCACTAGCTCTGGGCCTCCCTGTGGGATGTCCACCTTGGTTCTCCCGGTCACTAGCCATGTGGCCTGGACATGAAAGCTTGGTGCCTCACTGTGTATTTGAGAAAATTGGGCTAATACCAGTCCTTTCCTCATTGGGTGGCCACAAGGAGTCGAGGATGGAGACAAGTCAGAAAGCTCAGACAGGACCCAGCACAGCGTGCCACTCCGTCAATGTACTCCTGGTTTCCCAAATTCCTCCCTGTGCTTCAGGGAGTCCAGATCCCACACTGGCCAGTGATCCTCAGGCCATGAAGGACTGTTATGAGAATTATGTTAAGTAACCCTTGAAAAGCTCCTTGCACATGGTATAAAATCAACAAATGACAGCTGCTGCTGTTGTGATGATGGTGGTGACTACTCCTGTGCAGCTTGGCTCACCCGGCTATCCCACAGTGGGGCAAGGCTAAGCCCGGCCTACCCTTCATGCTCTAGCCAGCTACTCCTCCAGTGTTCTCCTAGTAAATGTCATAGCTAGCTATCACCCAGCTGCCCAAGCTAGATACAGGAGGAATGCTCTCCCTTGTGTCCTCTCCTGCATCCCCCACCCCAGGCAGTCACCAAGCCCTGGTTCTCTTTAGCCCTTCCCCTAGTCTCTAGCTCTGATGTTCTCCCACCTGAGGCCCGTCAGCTCACTCCTTATCTCCTCACTGGTCTTCCTGTTACCACTTCTTCCCCCAACACCAGAGCCAATTCACTTGGGCCAGATCAAAACCCTTCAAGGGCGGCTGGGCTTGGTGGCTCATACCTGTAATCCCAGCACTCTGGAAGGCCGAGGCAGGTGGATCACCTGAGTTCAGGAATTCAAGACCAGCCTGGCTAACATGGCAAAATCCCATCTCTACTAAAAATACAAAAATGCTGGGTGTGGTGGTGCATGCCTGTAGTCCCAGCTACATGGGAGGCTGAAGTGGGAGGATCACTTGAGTCCAGGAGGTTGAGGCTGCAGTAAGCCATGATTACACTACTAATGCTCCAGCCTGGGTGAAGACTGAGACCCAGTCTCGAAGGGAAAAACAAAAGACATACGCATACAGCACCTGTTATGCACCAGACCCTGTTCTAAGTTCTTCATTGCATGTTGTTCTTCACAACAACCCTGTGTGCTATAGGGCTGTTATTCCCCAATTTTACAGTTGAACAAACTATAACCTAAAGAAACATTAAGCTCTTGTCCAAGGCCATATAACCAGTACACAGCAGAGCTAAGATTCAAACAGGACTCAGGACGACAATCGACAATCGTAGCCAACCACAGACACTCCCAGCTGCTACACTTTGCTGGCCCCAGGTCCCAGATCCTCTCACCCGACCCTACTGAGTAGGCCCTGAGACACAAAGGTCAGACAACTGTAAAATAAGGACTGTTCCAGACTTCTCTGTTGGTGAAAAAAGGGCAATCACTTTAGAGTGACTTCAGGTGCAGGGCTACTCCCTTGGAGCCTACTTATTTCTAGGATACCAGATTCAAGAAAATTTCTGAGCCTACGACTAAAGACCAGGCTGCGGAAACAGGTCAGGAGAAGCCTGTGCCCTCAGGTGAGCACAGAGCTGTCAGCTCTGTGACTCCTCATCTCCTGTCTCACCAGGGGCCTCTTTGGGCTTCAGGCCTTAAAATTCACCCTGGGCCGGGTGCAGTGACTCATACCTGTGATCCTAGAACTTTGGGAGGTGAGGCAGGCAGATCGACAATCGTAGCCAACCACAGACACTCCCAGCTGCTACACTTTGCTGGCCCCAGGTCCCAGATCCTCTCACCCGACCCTACTGAGTAGGCCCTGAGACACAAAGGTCAGACAACTGTAAAATAAGGACTGTTCAAGACCAGCTTGGCCAACATGACGAAACCCTATTGCTCCAAAAAATGCAAAAATCAGCCAGGCACGGTGGTGCACCTGTAATCACAGCTACTCAGGAGGCCAAGGCAGGAGAATCACTTAAACCCAGGAGGCGGAGGTTAAAGGGAGGCAGAGGTTGCTGTGGGCAGAGATCGTGCCACTGCACTCTAGCCTGGGCAACAGAAGAGACTCTGACTCCAAAAAAAAAAAAAAAATAATAATAATAATAATAAAATTCAACCTGACCTTAAAACTCACCCTGGGGCAGAAGTTTTCAAATCGGCTAGCAGCTTTATGGGGCAGCACCTCGGGCCTTGCCTATAGGGTCGGGTGGGGTGTGAGGCCCCCCTATCTCCGCCTCCACCAGAGCAGCTCTGCTCTTGCCCAAGGTTCTGAAGGAGATTTCAATTGGAAAAAAAGTTCTGCTGTCAAAATAACTTTTGAAAGTCAGTGCCCGAAGTGATAAACATCCTTGTCAAGCAAAGTGGCCTTCTCATGTCTTCCCTGGTGATGTTCAGGGGGTTGGATGCTGTAAATTCTGACATGAGAGAGGAGGGTGAAAAATCTCTGATGAGCTTGGTCAAGTCTAATGTTAAGGCCACCCTGGCTGCTCTGCACACCAGCTCTGAGTGTGTCCTAACTTAGGACCTATTTGTTTCCCAGGGCACAGTCCTGCCTCTGGGCAGTTGTGCCCATAGTTTCTCCCGCTTGGAATAAAAAGAGAAACTACATTTCAGTTCCCCAGTCTGCCAAGCAATGTGTGAGGTACTTGTCCCTATTTCTCATAACCCTCACTATAGATCTGTAAGGTATTATTATCCCCATCTTAGGAAGGGGAAAACCGAGGTTCAGAGAAGAGAAATGACACCTAAGGATTCAAATCCAGGATGGTCTGATGCCCAAAGATCCTTTCCACTGCATCCTTGCCTGCCACCTCCCATGGCCCTGCCTTCCAACTCTCTTCACCTGCAGCCAAATCCTGCCCATGCTGAGGCCTCACTGGCTCCTCCAGTGCACCCCACTCCCTTGTATCACCCCATCTTTGCAGATGCTATTTCCCCTGCTCCAAATACACTTCCCTTCTCCCACACCCCCTTCACCTTGCTGATTCCTTCATGCCCTCTGGGATTCAGTTTGGGTATCATCTCTTTTGGGAAGCCTTCCTGGGATGCCTGACTGGGTCAGGAACTTCCTCTGGGCCCCCAACTCTGAGCTCCCCATCACAGCCCAGATGGCTCTGCGCTGTGGTCATGTGCTGTCTTGCACCCCAAAGAGACTCTAAGCTCTTGGGGCCACGGTCCAGATCCACTGTGCTCATAGTGGAATCCCACGCCCAGCAAGAGGCAAGGCACATAGCAGGTCATCAATAAACACTCGCTGAATGAGTGCATGTGTGAGTTCTATATGCAGCCCTCCAGATTCAGGACATGCCAGACTCCCTGGCAGGTGCTGGGCATGGCACACAGGTGAGGTGTATGCCCTGCTCTCAGCCCTGCCTCCTGCAAGAAGCCTTTGGCCACCTCAGGCATTTTCCTACTCCCCACTCCATGTCTTTCATTAACTTAACAAATCTTTGCACACCGACTAATCCAACGTGGCATGAAAGAAGCATCTGGCAAAGCAGGACACAGGGGTGATGCATGCACCACCTCTCCTCCCCCATCCTATCCCATGGCACACGCCAGGCACAGGCACACAGTGCAACATCAGTGAGGCGGTATTAGGAGCCCTTCATGGCTCCTCCTCTTTTGCCACCAGCCAGGCTGCTCCTGAGACTCGACTGGCTGCCTGGCTGCCTGGCTGCCTGCCCTCCCTCACTCACCAGGTCTATGCCCCCTCCCCAGCCCCAGCCCAGCTGTACCCGGTTGATGAGCTCGCCAACCATGCCTGTCCAGGAGCCATTGGGCTCAGGTGCCCCATACAGCCCGTCCTCCACCAACCGCAGGCGGTAGCGGAAGCGCAGCAGCTCAGCCAGCTCCCGCAGCATGTCCACACAGAAGCCCTCGAAGCGCTCGTTCCCCGACAGGGCCTGGAAGTTGGGCCGGCGCATGACGTATGGGTTCTCCTGGGTAGGCAGAAGAGAGCAGAGGTCAGAGACTGGTTATCTGGGGGCTGGGCCGGGGTTCCTGGAGCTCGGACCAGGCAGGTAGAGCAGCAATCTGCTGGCTGAGCAGGGATGATTTATTCATAGTACACATTTCTCACTTACAAATTCTCAGAGTGAGGAACAGACCTGAAAGCCAGGGAAAAAGCACATGGGTGCTGCCAGCCCCTAGCAGATTGCAGGGAGCCATTTTAATCTCCAGCAGCCAACCTGACGCTCATTGGTCCCAAGCTCAAATGCCTACGAGGGAGGAGGTAACTTCAGAGTGAGTCAGACTAGATAGAGCTTGTGCCAAAGCGGATTAGGGGCTTTCAGATTTCTTATTACAACCCACAGTAAAAGATACATTTTACTCTGCAACCCACACATGAACACACGTAACTAGACTTCATTCCACAGAAGAGTCCTTGCCCTAGTGACTATGGGCAATACACTCTGATATTTTCTATTCTGCTACACTTCATCTTTTCACATGGCTGATAATGACTCAACCGACCAACTTCATGAGCCACCAATGGGTCAAAGAGGGTATCCCTCACCAGGGTTTAGCTCCAGCCCAATGCCCCATGAGGGAGGCAGGCCAAAGATAACAGATGGTGCAAATTTTTTTTTCTTTTTTTTTTTTGAGATGGAGTTTTGTTCTCTTGCCCAGGCTGGAGTGCAGTGTGTGATCTCAGCTCACTGCAACCTCTGCCTCCTGGGTTTAAGTGATTCCTCTGCCTTAGCCTCCCAAGTAGCTTAGATTACAGGCACCTGCCACCACGCCTGGCTTTTTTTTTTTTTTTTTTTTGTATTTTTAGTAGAGATGGGGTTTCGTCATGTTGACCAAGCTGGTATCGAACTCCTGGACTCAAGTGGTCCACCCTCCTCGGCCTCCCAAAGTGCTGGGATTACAGGCGTGAGCCACTGTGCCCAGCCCAGATGGTATAATTTTAAGAGAATTTGGAAACCTAAGATTGTTTTGTAAAATCTCCTGATTATAAATGTTAGCAACTCTCATGCCTGAAATCCCAGTGCTTTGGGACATTGGAGTGGGAAGATTGCTTGAGCCCCTGAGTTGAAGGCTGCAGTGAGCTATGACTGTACCACCACACTCTAGCCTAGGCAACTGAGCAAGACTCTGTCTCTAAAATAAAATAAATGTTAGCAACTGATATGGTTAGGCTTTGTGTCCCCAACCATGTCTCACCCTGAATTGTAATCCCCATAATCCGCACGTCAAGGGAGAGACCAAGTGGAAGTAACTGAATCATGAGGGCAGTTTCCCCCATGCTCTTCTTGGGATAGCGAGTTCTCATGAGATACGACAGTTTTATAAGAGGCACTTCCTCCTTCACTCAGCACTTCACCTTCCTGCTGCCTTGTGAAGCAAGTGCCTTGCTTCCCCTTCCTCTTCTGCGATAATTGTAAATATCCTGAGGCCTTCCCAGTCATGCTGAACCTGTGAGTCAATTAAATCTCTTTCCTTTATAAATTACCCAGTCTCAGGCAGTTCTTTACAGCATTTTGAAAACGAACTAATACAGCAACCAATTCAAATTCTAACACCGATTATTATTAAATGTTCTGCAGGCCAAAACAAACACACTTGCTAGTTTGCAATCTCTGACCTACAGTCAGTCTGCCACATTGACGCTTGTATCCGATGGGTCTGAGCAAACTTTACTGACCCCATTGTGCCAAAGAAACACAAAAGCAGAAAGAATGGTCCAAGCACTAGAAAGACGAGGAATGTGAAGACGGTAGACACAGTTATTATCTAAATGGCTGTTTGTACAATGTCACTTTGGACTAATGAACAAAAGAACTTAGGACTTAGGGAAGAGCCAGGAAAGAGCTTTGGTTAAAGTATCTACAATGAGCTGGGCGTGGTAGCTCAAGCCTGTAATTCTAACACTTTGGGAGGCCAAAGCAGGTGGATGGCTTGAGCCCAGGAGTTCAAGATCAGCCTAGGCAACATGGCGAAACCCCATCTCTATTAAAAAAAAAAAAAAATTAGTTGGGTGTGGTGGCTTACACCTATAGTCTCAGCTATTTGAGAGGCTGAGGTTGAGCCCCAGAGGCTCAGGATGCAATGAGCCAAAATTGCACCACTGCAGGCCAGCTTGGGTGATAGAGCAAGATTCTTTCAAAAAAAAGTAACATAAAATATCCACTATGGTTATTGTGTATTGAGAACCTGTGTGCTGTGGGTTCTCTCGATGATGTCACTTTAATTCCTCATGGCAACCTTACACTGAAATGGGCATGAGTAACTCCTTTTACACATGTGGACACCGAGGCTCAAAGTGGTCAAGTGACCTCTCATTCATTCAACACATAATTACTGAGCTCCATGACAGATGTGGCCACAATATTGTGCTGCTGATGGGGTCCATTTCTTGCTGGGTCCAGATTCCTCGGTCTGGACTGGCCTTAGGATTTACTTTGGCTAACTGGACATGGCAGAAGTGATGCTGTGTGAATTTTAGAGCCTCAGCCTTCAGAGCAGCCCCCATTTAAGGAAGCCCAGGCTGGCCTGCTGGAGGGTGAGTAAACCAAGGCGTACCAGCCAACAGCCAGCATCCACAGACATTCTGCACTTTTTAGTCCTAACTGGACACCAGCTGAATGCTGCCACAGTGTGCCCAGGCAAGACCATCCAAAGAACCACTGAGTTGACCCACAGAATCATGCAAAATTAGCAACTGTTATTGTTTCAGTCTCTGGGTTCTAGGTGGTTTGTCACATAGTGATAGAATCTCCCACTATGTGGCCAGGTCATAGGCTGTAGACTCCAGGACCCCATAGAGCCCTATAGCTGTAGGGCAATGGGATAGAGGGCAGTCAGTGATTCCCTATCAAGCTGCCTTTCCAGATCCAAAATTGTGGAACTGGGAACAAGAATGTAAGATAATACTAATAATAGCAGCAGCAGCCAACATTTCTTGTGGGCTTGCTATGTGACAGCAATTCTGTCAGCGTGGGAGGGCGGTATTATTACTTCTGTTTTAGAGATGAGGATGCTGAGGTCCAGAGAAGTGAAGTAGTAAGTGGCTGAGAAGGACAAGTTGGTCTGATTCCAAAGCTCCACTCTTTTTTTTTTTTGAGACGGAGTTTTGCTCTTGTTACCCAGGCTGGAGTGCAATGGCGTGATCTTGGCTCACCGCAATCTCCGCCTCCTGGGTTCAGGCAATTCTCCTGCCTCAGCCTCCTGAGCAGCTGGGATTGCAGGCATGCGCCACCATGCCCAGCTAATTTTTTGTATCTTTAGTAGAGACGGGGTTTCACCATGTTGACCAGGATGGTCTCGATCTCTTGATCTCGTGATCCACCCGCCTTGGCCTCCCAAAGTGCTGGGATTACAGGCTTGAGCCACCGCGCCTGGCCTCCAAAGCTCCACTCTTAAGGCCCATGCTAGACTGAGCTCAAGTGGACAGAATCAGATAGTGAATATGGGAGAATCCAGACAGAGGTGAGGGACCCAGGCTGGGTATCAAAGCTGGAGAATCAGAAATCACGACTCCTAGAGACAAGTGTCTGGCTCCCATACAGCCCCCTTGACATATAGAGAAGAGAACAGAGGCTCAGAGAGGTAAAGCATCTAGCCCAAGGCCACCCAGCTAAAGCAGGGCAGTGGGAAGGGAGATGGGGCAGAGCTGGGCTTCACAACCTAATCCCTGTGCACTCCGAACCCTGTTCCTTCCACTATGCCAAGTTGTTCTCTAAATTCGAGACTGAGGAAGTTGGGTTCAGGGTCTCAGGAATGGGATCTGAACTTAGAGAGACAAAAAGAGACTGGGGTCTGTGAATAGAACTCAAAATTAGATAACCATAATCTAAGACTCAACTTGGAGCCACACACTATTAGCACAGAAGGGTCCTCAAAGAGCCTCAAAGGCAGGGTCTTCAGACTTCAAAGAGAATCTTATGCAGAAGCCCAACACTGCAGCCAGACAATGAGATACTGCTAAGTCCATTTCTAAGAATTTATCCTACAAATGGCTGTGCATCAAAAATAAGGTCCAAGAAAGTCAGTGCAGCATTGCTTGTAGTGAGAACAAAGACTGAAACAACCTAATTTGGGCCAAGTTAAAAAGATTATCGATGTCATAAAAGAATCCCAGGCAACCACTAAAATAGCAAGGTCTACAAGATATATTAGGAGGAAAAAAACAAGCTACAGAACAACGTGTACAATATGCTACTCTTTGTTAAAGAAAAAGCAGGGATGTGCTTGTATATGCATAGACATTGCTGGACTGATGATGGCCTCTGAAAAAAGAAAATGAGAGACCCAGGGAGGGAAGGAAACTGATTTTTCACTCCTCACCCACCTTGTATTCTTTGAATTCTATTTTACATAGGTTTGTATTAACTTTTGTCCCTTCCCCAATTTTATTTATTTATTTATTTTTGAGACAGGGTCTCTGTCACCCAGGCTGGAGTACAGTGGCACGATCTTGGCTCACTAGAACCTCTGGCTCTTGGGCTCAAGTGATTCTCCCACCTCAGCCTCTGGAGTAGCTGGGACCACAGGTGTGTGCCACTAAGCGTGGCTATTTTTCATATTTTTTGTAGAGACAGGGTTTCATCATGTTGCCCAGGCTGGTCTCGAACTCCTGAGCTCAAGTGATCTGCCCACCCCGGCCTCCCAAAGTGCTGGGATTACAGGCATGAGCCACCACGCCCAGCCCCCTTCCCCAGAGTAATATATTTTTTAAATGTGAAATATGATATTTAAGTGTGTATGGAAATGCATGGCTGGCTGGGCTTGGTGGCTCACATCTATAGTCCCAGAACTTTGAGAGGCCAACAAGGGAGGATTACTTGAGCCCAGGAGTTCAAGACCAGCCTGGGCAACATAGTAAGACCCCATCTCAAAATAACTTAAAAGGATAAAAAGAAATGCAGAGTCAAGAAGAACCAAAATAATCCTTAATAAGAAAAGTAAAACTGAGGGTTTACCCTGTCAAATATTA